TTACAGCCTTTAACCATGTCTGTACATCACACTGGGCCTGAACATTTAAATACATAACAAGAAAGAAACAATTAAGCTCTAGTACCACAATTTCAGCAGAACTACGTCACTGTTTTTGGAGTAATAACCCTAATGTTATAAAACTAAAGAATCAAATTGATATGTTGATTAAGTAAATGTTATGTTATAACAGCTGGACAGCTTATTCCTATAATTGTAAAAAAAATAATAATAATAATAAATCTTCAAGTCTTCATTAATTTTGCTATGTTTGGCAGGTGATGACAATTACAAGACAGTGTAAAGGTACCTATCAGGTTGAAAATAAGTCAAAATGATTACTTATTTAATGACTTTCTTCAATTATCTCATCATGAACAGAATTGATAAAGAAAGAATTTTTCACAACTTTACTTTGAGAGCCTCAAACATCATTGACCGACAAAGAAGTGATACTTTAGTAATGCTAAATATAATCACCACTTTAGTTAGAGATCCACAAACATCCTGAATCCATGAAAAAGTAATGCTTTAGTAATGCTAAATACATTGTGACTACATGGAAAACACAGTATCTCACATACGGATGGTATGAAAATATAAACCCAAGGCTGAGCACTGAGCAGTGTGAGAGGGGTTTATGGAGTCAAAAAAAAAGTCAAAAAGATTTTCAATTTGTAAAATGATATTCCCAAATGTGGTGAAGTTTTGTTTGAGGAGCTACAAGTAAAAACAGAAACCACAAATGGAGTGTGCAATTGTGAAACAAAAAAAAAGAAATTAAATTACAAATCTACAAACAATATTTGTAATATGTGTAAAAGAATTTTTAAATGTGTGAAAAAGATTGGCATTTGTAAATGAAATGTTATGAATGTGTGAATCAGTCCTGCACAGATTATTTAAATTGTACCAGACCATGAAATTACATGACAATTTTGAGGTTCTAAGTGTGTCAGTTTTTCAGTGTGGCAGTACAAATCCACACACATATCTCCACTTCTGTTTGTGTCTTTTAGCAGCTGTAGATTTTTGACCCTGTTTTGATTGACCAATAGGAAAGCTTTAACTGATCTAACCAGACAGAGAATGTGATTTATCCAGTCACAACACTGATTTGTTGCTGTCACTGCTATCGTGGTGCTTCAAAAACTGTAACCAAGTGATAAACTAGCTAACCAGCTAGCAGCAAGGTATTCCCCCCAGGTTATTTGAGTTTGAAACCCTTGCTGTACATGTGTAAAATAAAATCTGTTCAGAATTCCTAATTGATCCTTTCCATGAAGGCTTAACTGGGCAGATCTTATTTACTTTTTATTTAATATTAGAAACAGATGTATGTTATTTATATTCAGTTGACTTCAGATGATTCTGAATACGTTTTAGAGAAGAAGGGACCGAGAATAATCTTACCATCAACTACTTACAAAAGTTACAATGCAGAATTGAACTATGACTATAATATAATAATAATTTATAATATGTCCAGGCTATATATTATTTCATGTTATATTTTACAAGATTCATTCTGGTAGTGCCATTGATCAGGTCAGCATATTTTCATTATAAAAGACAAACGTGAGTAAAATTGGCTTTATTGTGATTGACTTTACAATACATGGTGCACTACTATTGCGAAAACATAGCACTGGTTAGTTGTTTAGCTTTAATTTGCTTTAGCACGGATACAAGATACAAAGGGGGCCATCGCCTAAGGCAATAACGTGTAAGCTAGCCTAGCTAGCTTTCTCGCTAACAGCTAACTAGTTCATGTAGCATCATTACGTAGATCAGATTAGTTAGGTACCAGATTTTACTAATTTGAGTTTCTGAGCTTTTTATGCTTTCATAGCGTGGAGATGCATGGTGAAAAGATTGACATTTACATTTACATTTTACATTTACAGCATTTAGCAGACGCTGTTATCCAGAGCAACTTTCAAAAAGTGCTTTGTCTATCTAGAGAAAGTATCTTTGCTAGTTACCAATAGGTTAGAGAGAAAGCCAGTCCTGAGCTCAGATACTGTCAGAAACAAAAGTCCCTGTTGATACCCAGAGAAAAACAAACAGAATTAAACACAGCGCAGTGCAATACAATACATAAGTGCCGTACAATAAATTACAATGAATACTTAATTCAGTGGTCATTTAAGTGCTGTATAAACAGATGTGTCTTCAGTCTGTGTTTGAAGACAGCTAGAGACTCTGTTCGGACAGCCAGTGGGAGTTCGTTCCACCACCTGGGGTTCAGGTTAGAGAAGAGCCTTGATGCTTGTCTTCCACGTGTCTTGAAGGATGGTGGGTCAAGCCGAGCTGTACTCAAAGCTCAAAGGGCTCATGGTACAGTTCAAGTTTTGACCATTGCCATCAAGTAGGGAGGGGCTGGTCCATTTTTGGCTTTGTAGGCAAGTTGTATAGGTAAGTTGTATAGATCTGTCAGAGTAAAAACTGATTTAAATGATTTCCTTAAAAATAAATCCTACTAAGTAGCCAGCAGTTTAGAATATTTTGGGGTATGTAATATTGGCTCTGTTGAAACTAAACTAAAACAATTTGGGAAATGTCCTTATTTATACATGGATTGTTTGTAAAATCCTGGCCTAGCTGACATTAGTGCTATATACTTTACTGTTATTAATGCTGTGATATTTGTCTTGTGTAAGGTTGAGCACACTGCTCAGGTTCTGACAGCTAAAGGAGCATGTCAGTATTGTGCAGGTTGTGATGGAAAGCTGTTGTCTTTCAGGGTTCAAGTATGGCTCAGAGCAAGCAAAGAGGTAATGTTCCTAACATAAGCAGACTTGAAAGCACAAGGGCAAGCAGACCAGTTTAGTTCTGAATTGAGGGAGCTCAAAGTTAGGAAGCTTCTAAAGCAACTTAAAGTGGAGGTGTAGTGATTTCTAAATGCATTACTACAAACTTTTTTTCAAATAAAAAGGAAATTAAGGTTTTTTTTTTATGTTTCCCAGTAAATTGAGTAACATTTATTAATTTGCATTTGAAGACCGCAAGGGAGTCTGCTGTTCAGACAGCCAGTGGGAGTTTGTTCCACCACCTGGGTGCCAGGATAGAGAAAGGTCTTGACGCTTGTCTTTCATGTATCTTGAAGGATGGCAGGTCAAGCCAAGCTGTAATTGAAGCTTGAAAAGCTTGAAATACAGACTGAGTTTTTATCATTTCCATTAGGTAAGGAGGGGCTGGTCTATTTTGGCTTTGTAGGTAAGCATCGTTTCTGATGCAGGCAGCTACAAGAAGCCAGTGAAGGGAGTACAGCAGTGGAGTGACATGAGTGAACGTAGAAAGATTAAAGACAAGCCGTGCTTCTGCTTTCAGGGTCATTTGCAAGCTTTAGTTTTTTTTTTCTTTTTTTTTTCTCTGAGGTGAATAATAGTGAATAGGATGCATTTTCATTTCATGGCACTGTATATGCACCCAATGTCAGTAGTGGAAAATGAGGGATTCTGGTCACTGTTAAATGTGGTAGAGCCAGTGGGAAAAAACAGAATAAAGTGCAGAAATGCATCAGTGTGTTAGATTTATTTTCCCATGGCTGAAAAAGTGTTGTAGGGTACAGTGTATTAAAAGTAGTAGTAGTCTCTCTCTCTTTCTCTCTCTTTCTCTCAAACCAGGCTCCGCAACAGACTTGGACCCATAAGGAGATTCCAGCATGTTCTACTCACCCTCCGCACTCTGAGCTGCCATAGGTCTGTCTATGCACTAAAACGCTTGAAAACAGGGCCGTATTTTTTTTCCTAACTGCCTCATATGAGGTGTGGTTTTGTATTTGCTTCCCCTTTTTTGGGCTTCAGGCTATTCTTGCAAAACTCTCTATTTTGAATTTGTAATAAACGTCTCTGAGCTTTACTGACCCTGTCTCTGGTGTGTGTGTCCATCTCAGCTGTCGGTTTCATTCACATATGCTATCAATGCATAATCACAATTGATCCTTGTCAACGCATTTTTGTTCACTATGCAGGCTCTGTTGCTAATATATAATACCAAGACACTCATTCAGACCATTTTAAGTTTTCTTCCATTATATGATAATAACACTGCCTGCATGACAGGGGTGTACTTAATGGGTAGCCAGTGCCATCACAGCATGGCCACCTTTCTGGCCACCCCAGTTAAATAAATTGAGAAACTCAACCATCGTCAACAAATCAATTCTTCCAACCCTGAGTGAACACTTATACTGTCATCAGGGCAGTTACCAATCAGCTGTAAGGGACTCTCTGAGAATGCTGGTCAAAACCTTAAAGCTGGTCTTGATCATTCTGGTAAATGAGGCAGCAAAACATTGTTTTCCTACATTAGGAAAAGAAGGTAAAAAGCATTAAAATACATTTCTTCATCAGTGTCATGCAGTACATTTCTATTTTGTTGTCATGCTTTTGGGGATCACAGGATTTTAACCAATATCATATAAGTCGGTTTGTCACCCAGCCAAAGATTGTTCACTCATAATGATATACTATCTAGCTGCTTTGTCAATAGACTCATGAGTAACCTGTAGTGAGGGCAGTCTAAATGAGTAACTTCTATGGTCTAAAATATTAATGTTAATGCAGTGAAAGAGTGATAAATTTCATTGATTGAAATATGTACATAACTTCCCCATAAATAATAAAATTAATCAATTCAGCAATTACTGAGTACATTCAATGCATTTGTATCATATTTTAATAATGAAGCATTAATAAACATCCTTAACTGCTCATTTATTTTTTCTTTTGCCACCCCAGTATAAACTCTGGGTCTGACCTGGCCACCCAACTTTGGTGCCTCTATGGGGTGTGGTAGGGGCCCAAAACAGAGTAAACTGAGGGCCCTGGAATGATTTAAAATAGATTTGATAAAGTTTAACTTTAAAAGCTCATTTTATAATATTGTAATATGGTGACATAGGGAAGTGCTCTTTGTTCTTTGTTGGGATTGAAGGGTGTAACTGTGATCTTTGAACTGCTGTAAATTTATGAAGTTTATTCAGATAAGCAAGTTCTGACACAGTACAGAAACTTGAGGAGAAGCACCTGATACCTGTTCAAACACCTGGTCAAATGATTTAACATCTTAATCTGGATGTAATCTACTGGAATCTCCAGTAAAATGGAGTCTGATATTTGTAAGTATTCTACAGTGCTGTTTGGCTGCTGGTGGATATTTATATCTGTTGGCTACACAGTTCATGTTTTAGTCTTGATGACTGGGCTATCACAGCTTTGCAGTAACAAAGTATTCATAGTAGGGAGTATTAAACTTGTCTCTCTGAAAATTAATAGAGAGGAATATTACTTTCATCTTTGTTGTATGGAGCTGATTTTGCACCAACTGAGTGTACAAAAAAACTGTCACATATCAATACATGTATTAATGATTGGACTTTAAAGCTGCATCATCAACCAGATATGAGAATATAGTAAGTTACATTTGGGTTAAAAAAACTGTTCAGTTGGAAAAATGAGTTGTAATGCGATGGTAAACAGCTATACTTGTAGTAAAGAGAGTGACTACAGGACAGTCTTAAATGAAAAAGCTATTCTGCCCTATACATAGTTGTGACTACAGTTAACAGATTAACTACAGTTAATCAGTACAGTTGTACTGTTTGGTAGATACTCAGCCTCTGGTCATTTATATATGTAGTGATCTTATTTCTTGGCTAGATTATATAGGCTACAAATGTAACAGATATCATTGGCTATAGTCATTAGCTATAGACTACTTGTTGTAGTAACAGTTATACTATTAATATGTTATAGTATTAATAGTATGTTGAAATAGGCTTGGAAGAAGTCTTTAAGATTTTTTTTTGCAATTTCCACCTGTTTGGAGGTTCCTGAGTTTTTGAGGTATTTTTTTTTTTGTCAGTAATGTTGATGGAACATATGTAGATGGAAATGTTTATGACGACAAAGCTGGAAGTCAGCTGGATTTTAACCTTCGTAGGTGAGCAAACATGTCAGCATTCATAAGTGTTTTTATTGTGCTGAAATGTTATTTTTTATTGTGGCAGTTGTACATAATTTTTTTGATATGAGGAAAACTGTATTTGTGCTGTCTGTTCTCAACATGGCCGTCTTTGTGAAGTGATAGTTTGTTTTCACAGGCTGTTCTCAGTCCCACATTTCCCCCCTCATTGCTCACTCAGCACAGACCACTTTCTTTACTAGATGGGTTGAATATTATTCTATTAGTTTATCTAAGAATATTTTTTAAGTGATAATTTAACTTTTTATTTCAGCTAAAATGCTTGGAGGCCACTTGGATTACCACAAGACAGCTGTTTGTCATAAATGTTGGCCCCCAATAAATATTTATTTAAATAGGGGATGTTTTGGTGATTCAGAATTTGAAGGATTAAAAGATTCCAATCTCTACTCTAAGTGATTTTCCTGATTATTTGCCCTCTTTAACTAAATCTATGGTAAAGCTGCTGTCTACTATGCCCTCTTTAGTGCAAGTGCTAGTGATGCACTTTTCTGAAGAATGATTTTCAGCAAAATTGACAAGAAGAACCTTTTGAAACATTTGAGAAACTGGATTGTAGTTTGTTATTTCATATCCGATGACTGTCCAATATGAAACCAACTTTATTGCAGTTCCTACATTGGAATTTTACTGGCATAGAGATTATATAAGATAAACTGGGGAATAGAACATGCCTGATCATAGTTTTTGTCAGAACGCTCTCCATGTCTTATTAGACAACATTTATGAAAGACACCTTGAGAAAAGAGTTCATGTGTACTACTTTCACAGTGTGTGGTGTTGACAGCTCCTCTAAGTATTGAAAACATTGCAGTATAAAACCACTGCAAGTCCAAAGTTCACTATCATATTCATTGAGTGGGTGTTATAAGAAAGTGTAGATCCATTATCTACCAATCTTTCTGTGTAGTGAGAAGGTTATCTATGTACTTGATGGACTTGATGTACTTGGTGATAAGTCTCACTGCAGCCATACAGCAGACTGGTCTTTTAAGGAATGGAATGGGTGAATGAATGCAAGTAAAGATAAAAAAAAATACACAAAGCCATCAAACCAGGGAAGAAAGAAACTACTATACAAACAAGATCTAGAGAGGAGACAGGAAGAACTGGAGCCATGATAAGGCTAGATTTGACTAGATTTGTATGTATTTGTAAGATTATTTAGAAATTTTGTCTACACTACACTCCATATTTAGACAAACTAGTTAATTATACAGACTTCTTAAAATGAAATAAGAAACTTTTTGGAGAACTGAAAAGTTTGAAAGTGCACCAATATGACAGAAGAAATTTCAAGACAACTTTACTTATTTTAGCTTTGTAGTCTTAAAATCATTTCAAAACACTGCAATCTTAATAAAGCTGTTTTGAAATGTCTCCTTTCATAGTGGAGAGCTTTAAAACCTCTCCTGCTCTCTGATTAATCTTATATATATTAATCTAGTATAATTTTAAAACAGCTGTGTACAATACAACAATGTATTTTATATTAAGCATTACATTATTAATATAAAACTATTTAAAATATATTTTTGTTTATTTAAAAGTAAAGCTTTCCTAAGCTTGAGCTCATATAAAGAAATTTAGTACCAAATGAGTTTTTAAGAAAATGCTTAAAACAACACTCATAAGCTAGTTTTTGCTAACTTTAGGTCATCATTGTATCAGATTAAATTAGCATTACTGAAATCTAGCCACAGTGCATTAAACCAATAAAATATTGACTGATTTTCAGACATTAAGGAAATTTACAGTGCAAGATTTTCTTTTTTTGATTACACATTTTCATCATATAGGCAGATAATTTAGGTTGTGCCAATTAACTTTACCTTATCTAAATTTTTATTTTTCCTATTTTTTGACACATTTGTCTGTAGTGTAGCTTCCTGTGCATAATGAAATATAAGAAACATAAAAATAACATGTAACTTACACTTTTCTCACAGATCCATCACACTTGACGAGGAACAGAAGTATAACCCCTCCCCCCAACAGTAAGTTACTACATTAATACAGTAAACAATGTCATTCTATGTCTAAAGTTATCATGAAGTCATCAAGTGCAGAAACTGAACTAACACTGATTAATATTGCTAACACGTTTTTATTTATCTGACTCAAGAGAAGGTTATTGAGCAAATTAGGGAGCTGATGGTTGTGATCTTATTTACACACTGTATAAAAACACTTATGCACTGATTAATGAGTAAAAATTAGATACACACTGAAAATTAGTAAATGTTGCCAGGGGGAAACCCATGACACAAAGTGCAAAAAACCCAAGGAGGTGGAGCTTGAAGCTGGGTCGGGACCTTAGGCTACGTTCACATTACCAGGCTGAAGTGGCATAAATTAGATTTTTTGCCCTAATGTGACTCAGATCTGATGTTTTCAGGGCTGTGTGGACACGGATATCTGATCTTTTCTAATCCGACCTGAGCCACTTTCTTACATGGTCCTAGATCGGATACGTATCGGATTCATGGCTATTCAACCTTAATGTGAACACTCAGATCAGAATTTATGTGCTTTTTTCCACTGCGCATGCACCATCATTCAGCATTACTATGGCAACAACGCCAAACAGAAGTTAAAGCCTGTAAACAGTGGAAAAGCAGCACATCTGACTCCAGCAATGCAGCTGAGAGCTGCTCAGAGTTAATTGTCTTCACAGCAAAGGCTCGTTCTGCTCATTAGTTAGCTGATGACGCACGTGACACACGTGATTCATTCACCTGACGTTACTGAGTAGGATATGCGCATGTCGTCATTTCAGGACACCGGTTCGTTCACGTTAATGACAGATTTGAATCACTTACCTAAACGAGTGTGAACTATCATATCAGAACAGATTTAAGCAAAAAAACAAGTTTGAGCAATGAGGCTTGTAATGTAAACGTAGGCTTAGACAGGACAAGCCCAAGACAAGCACAGAAACAGAGACTAGAGAGAGGGAAAGCAGAAGTAAAGGAAGAGAGTAGGAAGCCCTGCCCCCAAGCCAGTTGCCCCCCTGGTCACTTCAGCCTGGCCTACAGGGTTAAAGCTCCAACGAGTCGTTTAGTTCATGCTTAGAAGTGGACTCAGGAAGCAGCACTGCTATGCTCGAGGCCTCCAGCTGGTCAATCTCCATGGCCTTCGGTGGCGCTGCTTGGTGCCTCAACCCAGCCACTCTGAGCAGCTCTGAGCTAGGGCTGAGCTATTTGGGTAAAAAATCTAATTGTGATTTTTCTGAACACTACTACGTCGACAAATTCAATTGCGATTAGAGAGTCTAGCACCTCCCCCTGGCTGTGCTATGTGTTCTTGGTGCATATTTTAACATTTTTTCAGCATGTATTTAAAACAAAAATCGATGTGTTTAAATCATTGGACTCTAATGGAGAACTGTTGACTTGCAAACAATAACACTAGCTAAATAACGAAAGCTGATTTTGTTTCAATTCTATATCCAGTTTGTGATCTCAGGATTGTTCTACTTGGGAAGAAAGGCCTCAACAGCAGAGTGGGGAACTTCATCCTGGGCAGAGATGTGTTTGATACTAAAGCTCCTCCTCCTTCAGTAGAGCAGCACAGTGAGAGAGCCAGAGAAAATGTGGAGGGAAGATGCATCACCCTCATCAACACTCCTCAGCTGTTTGACCCCTCTCTCTCAGAGGATCAGTTCACAGAGCAGGTTAAAGAGTGCATGTCTCTGTGTGCTCCTGGACCTCATGTTATAGTGCTGGTTATACAGCCAGATGACTTCACTGAGACAGACAGAGACAGACTGTATCACATCCTCTACTCTTTGTCTGAAGAGCCTCATAAATACACCCTAATACTAACAACACAAACTCTGCAGTCAGGCTTCAGTGACAGAGACTCTGTTCAGGAGAAAATGATAAAGGAGACCATCGCTAAGTACAGCAACAGTCACATTGACTTAAAGAGAGGATATAATCGTGCTGATCTCTTGAAGATGATGCAGAAGATGGTCAAACAGAATGGAGGGACACACCTTATCTGGGAGTCTCAGTGTGCAACAAAACATGGTAAGAAGCTTTTGCTAACCTCTGTTTGAGGGCTTTCTCTGACGCATTAATATATTTGTCTCATTAAAACCTTTTAGGTGAAAACAAAAGATCTTTGTGATGCATATACTGAAATTTAAATCAGAATTTAAAATCAGATTTATCTAAATGTCCATTTTTTCTAATTTCTCATTTTTAAAATTTATTTTGCTCATATATTTTAGTGTCAGATGTGTCTGCCTTCACTTCTAAGACACGGAAACTGAACTTTGTGCTGTGTGGGAGGGACAGAGCAGTAAAGGCCTCCTTATCAGACCTCTTGCTGGACAAAAAGACTTCAAAATATCAACTTGACCAGAGAAAGCGCAGTCCAGAGTCCAGCTCAGTGTGTGTGAGGAGGGAGGGAGAAGTGTGTGGACGTCTGGTCACTCTGGTGGAGATGCCAGCTCTCTACAACACTCAGCTCTCAGAGGAGGAAGTGATTCAGGAGACTCTCCACTGTGTCTCTCTCTGTGATCCTGGAGTTCATGCTTTTCTCCTCATCATTCCTGTTGGTCCTCTCACTGATGAAGACAAAGGAGAAATGGAGAAGATCCAGAGAATCTTCAGCTCAAGGGTCACTGAGCACACCATAGTCCTCTTTACAACTAAGTGGAACACTGACAAAAGAGCCGCAGTTGAGTTTGTAGAGCAAAGTTTAGAAACAAAGCAAATTCTCAGGCTGTGTGAAGGCAGATATAAAATCTTGGAGAAAATGAAAAATGGAAACCTGAAATCGGTGCCGGCACTACTGGATGAAGTAGTGAAGATGGTACCCAGCAGCAAGCATTATTCACCCAGTGAAGCACAGAGAGATGAAGGCAGACCACAGAGTGAATGTAAAGAACAAGCGAACACAGTCAGAAAACTGAAAACAAAAGAACAACAAACATGTAAGTAATATGAAACAACAAAGTTGACTAAGTAATCAATTTAGAGGCTGTTTAAATGAGAATTTTAGTAAAAATGTTAACAATTACATTTCACAATAAAACATGAGTAACTGTTAATGAAAAGGCATCATCGAGGTAGAGTATTCATCAAAAGTTTGGACTCACCTCTTTTTTATTATTATTACTAATTTTTAAATTAGTTTATCATTTGCTCATAATAAATGTGTTTTAATCAGATCTTATTGGCTGTTATTTATGGTCATTTAAAAACATTTTATAAATATTTATAACATGTAACATGTCCCTTAATACATAGGCTTATATGTTGCCTTGGAGATACATTTCAAGCACTTAAGCATAAGCCTTCAGATCAAACATACATTTATTCAGGTGGGTCCAAACTTTGTCTGTGCATTGTACATTTGCTCATGTGCTACACTCTTAGGAAAAAGTGTTTTATATAGTACCAAAAATTGGTTGTTTGACTTGCAATGGAATGCTTTTTGATGCTAGAAAGAACAGTTTTTAATATATAACATAAATAACCTATATACCAGGTTTTCCTTCATAGAAAATAACAAATTAACCACACTGAGAACTATTTATGCTTTCATAAGGTTCTTTGGGTGTTTAAAGGTTTTATATATAACCATTGCCTTTACTAAAAAAACCCTTGAAGAATCATTTGTAAGAGTGAATTTTTCAGGCATGTATCTTCAGCAATGTGTAACCACACTCATATCTTTTTTAGGTGATGAAGCTTCTGGCTCTGAGTGTCTGAGGATAGTTCTAATTGGGAAAACCGGGAATGGGAAGAGCTCAACGGGGAACACAATTTTAGGAAAAAATGAATTCAAGTCCAGTGTTAGCATGACCTCTGTGACCACAAAGTGTCAGAAGAGTTTTGGTAAAGTTCTAGGAAAATCTGTTGCTGTTGTTGATACTCCAGGTCTCTTTGACACCACACTCTCAAGTGAAGAAGTAACACAAGAAATTGTGGAGTGCATCAAGCTGTCGACCCCTGGACCTCATGCTTTTATCATTGTGTTGAGTGTTGGAAGGATTACAAAGGAGGAGATGGACACTCTGGATTTAATCAAGGACATTTTTGGCCCTGAGGCTGCCAAGTTCAGCATAGTTCTCTTCACCAGAGGAGACGATCTGGGAAACGAGCCAATTAAAGAGTACATCAAAAGAAGTAGCCATGCAGATATGAATAATCTAATCCTGGACTGTGGCGGCAGAGTTCACATGTTTAATAACAAAGACAAGGAAGACCACACCCAAGTGACTGACCTTCTCAGAAAGATTGAAGAAATGATACATTTTGACAGGAACAATTACTTTACAAACAATATGCTGAAGGTGGCAGAGAGAACCATACAGCAGAAAAAAGAGGAGATACTGAGAGAGAAGGAGAAAGAGATTCAGGAAGGAGAAGAAGCTCTAAAGACTCAATATGAGAAACAGCTAGAAGAGCAGGAGTTACGTATGAAGAGTGAAAGAGAGCAGGTGGAAGAAAAGAGACGTCAAAGAGAAAAAGAGTTTGAGGAGAGGGAAGGATCTCTGAGACAAGAGCATGAGATGAAAGAAGAGAAGAAATGTAGACAGAGTGCAGACAAGAAAGCATGTTTTGAAAAAGAGCAAAGGGAAGAAAGAAAACATAGAGAACAGGAAATGGAGTGGAAGCAGCAGACGAGAGGCAGAGAGAAGGAACACAGGAGCACATACCTGAGACCTGCTGAAAAACTGAGAGAACCAGGAGAAAACCTGAAGCAAATTATAGCAAAATTTGAAAGAAATATTGAGCAAGACAGAATTCAAATACAGCCAGAGAGAAAACAGTGGAAAAGAGTAGAAAGTAGGGAAAAAGAACAGAGAGAGAGAGAACACAAGGAGAGTGAATTACAGATGATAAAGAAGTTTGAGGAACTAGGAAAAGAGACAAAAGTCTGTATGGACGATGAAAGAAGTGAAAAGGAAAGAAAAATGCTGGAGGATCTAGAACTGGAGAGAGAATGGCAGGAGGAGCTGAGAAAGAGAGAAGCAGAGGACAGAGCGAGAAGAGAGAAAGAGGAGAAAGAGCGTGAGGAAATGAAGAAGGAGTATGAGAAAAGAATGAATGAACTAAAGACCAAATATGAGGAAGAAGCTAGAGAGCAGGCTGAGCTGCTTAATGATGTACAAACCCATTTTGAAAATGAAATATCAGAACTGATGAAAAAGCGCCGAGATAAACGGAAAGAAAAAACACCAAGATCAAGCATGAGAGAAACACCTGAGAAAGACGTTAAAAAAGGGCAATGTGTTCTACTCTAAAGTCTTTAGAGATGAGAATGTGTTAATATGACACAGAAGAAGCTTAGAGTATAAAACAGTAGTACTATCATTACTGAATTTCCTATTAAAACGATTTATTAAGAATATTATTGGACTGTAGATCTTATGTTACTGTACTTTCTATTTGTTGTTGTTGTTATTTTAAACATAAAATGATGTAAACATGGGAAAACACAAACAAAAAAATAAAAAAAACTTTTTAACTACCACTCCAGGGACTCACTCATCCTGTATACTGATGCATTCCTGTAAGCTTCATATGCCAGTTACATACACACACGGCCTATTATGAAAAATGCACAGTAGATGCTGCTGGTAATGCTTATTAATTATATTTAATACTTATTAACATTATGTATTTTCATTTATTTAATTATTGACTACTTCCCTGTATGACCAAAACAATGTTTTGTGAAAACAGTGTTAATATTAGGCACCAGTGTATAATATTATTTATTTTTAATTACATTTTTTTAATAAGCACAATGTTGCTTTATTGTTACAGCCAGCTTGTGTTAGCAGGCCCTGCTGATCAGTGGAGTGTCCAGGATTTTAGACATGAGGTTGCACAAAAGGGGAAGTCCACACTGAGGGGTGATACCACTTAATTATAGGACACAGATGCTTTTGCAGAACATCTAATTTGTATTCTGTTGCAAAAAGACTTTACATTCTGATAAATGCAGTAATTTGTTTAACTCATTTATATGCACCTTGAGTAATTAGATATTGAGAAAACTCCGGGTCCACATGAGTCAAATCGGATTAATGTTGTGCTGTCATATGCAACCCCCAACCTGTCCACCAGAGATCTTCCTCCCCTGAATATTAACCGCTGCCTCAGCAATGACTCAATCACACACACATCTCCTATCAGCTTTCTTACTAAAACTCTCTCCCCTCTTATTGAAGCATTGTTAGTGTCTCACTGGCATCCTGAGCCTTTTCTCCTGTGAATCACTTGATTTTGTGTGGTTTTTTTTTGTTTTGTTTTGTTTTGTTTTTTTTGTTTTATCTTGGCTACCATTTTTTATTTTGATTTTGGACTTCGGCTTGGATTTTACTGCCCTAAAATTTTTGTGTGTTTTGGGCCTCTGAATGTTGCTTTACCCAGCTTTTGGGTTTTACCTTTGTTGCCTGTTCCTAATAAAGCCTGCTTGATACAAATCCATGTAAATGCACTCATTGTGTGAAAATTTAATTCAGAAAGGACTGAAATTCTCCAAATTCAATTGGAATAAAACCTCTTTAACTTTAACTCTTAACTTTATTAACAAAAACAGTTAAGAACATGTTTGCTTTCACCTGTAAAATTACCATTTGTAATTTTTTTGAACAGTTGTAATGTACTCTATAGTTCCTGATGCTGCAACAAAATATGATATAGGGATGTGCACTGTTGTGACTGTATCAAAACAATAATGCATGTTCAAACTATTTTTTGTTGATTGACAGATTTTGCTCTAAATTACATCTTAGGGAGTGCAGTTTAGAAAAAAGACATTAGAATACACACTGCTGTCCTCCGCTTGCACCTCCATCTCTCCCAGCACATCATTGTCCTCTGCCTACATATCAATTCCTTTTTTTTTTGCCTTTTTTTTTTGAGTAGAAACTTGAGAATATCTCTTTATCTCTCTTCCTTTCCTTTTGATTTGAGCCCTCCAGTTCCATACAGCACTGAAAACAACAACCCAAGAAAACAATTAAGTGCTCATCAGTTATGATAGCACATAGAAGGCAGGTTCACCCATGAGTCCCAGGTGATGGACTAAATTTTTTTGCAGGTGGGATTCATTTTGAAGCACTGTGATAAGCAGTCAACAGGTTGCGGGCTCATGTGATCAGGTATAATGGCTGGCTGATTGGGGCAGGCTTGGACAGATATTGATTGCTTGCAGAAGCAAACAGGCGAGTAACAAATGAGCTAATATAGCATTATAGCAAACCATATTGTATACAAATAACTAGCTTGTTTATTAACTGGTATAAATGAACAAGATAAATGAAGTCATTTGGAGAACTAATGGTAGGGGTTCTCTGGTAAGTACTGACACAGATTGTTTAAATTAAAGGGTTCAAATATACCCTCTACATTTCCAACAGCTAACGAGGGGGGATTACAATGACCACAGTATAGAGTCACTTAGCTAGCCCAAAAAGAGTCTTTAGCCATGGGAAAAGTCACTCTACGACTATGGTGCATCACACAGGCAGCCAGCCCAGGAAGCCTCGAAGGCCGAAAAAGTCCTTAGCCACGAAGGAGTAGCATGTTCCTGCAGCCGAACACTACCAGTCCAGACAGGCTCATAGCTGCAGTGCAGCGTCGCCCGAGTGGCTGGCCCGGACAGCCACATAGCTGCGATGTAGCATCACTTAGGCAACTGGCCGGAGAGGCCTCGTAGCCGCAGCGTAGCGCTGCAAACAGCCAGCCCAGGAAGTCTCTGAGCCACAGGTGGAAAATCATTGTCGACTGCTATCTTGGTGAAATGATGGCAAATTCCTCAGACAGCAGGGAAACTTTAAAACATTCACACAAACAACACAAAACAAAACATACATATTGCACCAGCGTACTTACAACGGAACAAACATGCGCATGCGCGCACACACACACACACACACACTGTTCCATACTGTTGGAAGAATAGATTCCATGGAGAATTCAGATCACTGTAAACTTGTGTGGAGAGTTCAAGACTTGAGATAAAAAGTAGTAAAAGGCCTGGGAACCCAAGGTAGAGAATAAGAAATGTCATTAGCCAAGTCAACTTAACAAGAGAAGTGCACCTGATTAGAGTACCATAACAAGTTTATCAAGTCACCCCTACTATGTATGCAACAGATGGACTAAGGATGGATTAAACAGTGACAGTACAGACATGACTAAAATGCAAGACACTAAAACCCAAGATTATTTCTTGGGCTTATTTCTATAGTTGGTCTATCATGCTTTACCTGTACTGAATGGCGTGATGTAAACTATGGTAAAGATTTAACTGTGTAATCTGGTGGATCTGACTGTTTGCAACTAACTGAGCGCATCATTCGTATAACTTTTAAATAAACAAAGTAAGCAAACAAGCTGAAGACCAGCAGGTAGTGATTTTCGGTTTTACGTAAACTGAGGCTCTGAGGCGTGATTCGAGTACATAAACGAAATCCAAACAAAGTTCCATATTAAGACTTGTATTATTTTTAGAGAATCATGTGATCGATGACAAGCGAGGCCTCGCTTTCTGCCCTTTTTTGGTTCGTGTAATGGAAGATTCGAAACTGCCCCAGAATAGACTCTGTCCCCAAAAACAACTTCAACATAATGTCACATAAGCACTTTTAAGTGTTCTCTAGTGCACATTCTTGTTCTGTACCAGTCAATTGTGGCTGGTACTATTGTAGCAAATCACAAAACAGTTAAATGTAATTATATTTAACTCATAGAGGTTTTTATTGTCACACTTTGATAAGTGAATGAAATTAACTGAAAACATTTGTATTTTGAACAACAAGAACATTCATGATTATCTAATGAAATGCAGGCATTGTTAAATTAACTCAGAATCTTCTGAAAGAGATAAAACTTAAGCTATGACTGCTTAATTACACATTATGCTACTGATCACAGTTAGGCCACAGACTCAAATGCTATAAAAGGATAATGGTACTGTAGAGTTTTCAAGTTGCTATGTAATGTCTTTTACTCAACAAGACAGGATCCCAGGTCTTTAAACCCTTACTGAAGAAAAAAGCTATTGAAGAAAGAAATCATCTGTGTGAAAATGAAATAACTTTGTGGGCCAGACCTGGATCCACCACTACCTAAGAGGTCTGACAGATAAGTGAGTTCAAATGGTGGTGATGAGCAAAGACAGAGACTGACATTTAAAAGGGTTTTTTGATGATTTTGCGGCCGACAACCCTAAAATCAATTGTTCTTGACCTTAAAGGCTCAGTGATTTCTCAGATTAAGAAAAGTCAGTACTTTTTCAGACTTAGTTGGCTCCTTGGATGCAGTAGTCAGTGTTTTCTTTGATTTAGTAGGGCCATGTGTGGCTTGGATAAAGTAGTTTAAATGGCTCCTCAGACTCAGAAGCACTAATAGCTCTCTGTGTTCTAAATACATTATTTTGGTTTATGTATTGTAATGGAATACATTACTGAATTCAGTATGTAGTGCTCATTACTATTTCAAAGTACTCTGCCAAACTCTGATGCTGTGCAAAATGTAAATAAAGACTGAACACAATGATGTACAAATCATTTAAACCAGAATGCCAGAAACACATTTCAAATGCCAACAACAAATTTCAAAAACCACAAACAAAACACTGGTAAAGCAACAAAAGACTGGCAAAGTTGTGTAATGCTATAAAAAAACAAACAAACAAACAAAAAAAAAACATCTGCTGGGGCATCCCAGAGAGGCCGAGTCTTTCAGAAATACTGGAAGACTGCGTGGGCATATAGTAAAACAATTCCAGACTATTTCAAAGAACTTGGGAATTTCACCATCCACAGCATATAATATCATGAAAAGATTCATAGAATTGGGAGAAATCTCTGTATGCAAGGGACAAGGCTGAAAACCAGTACAGGCTGGCCGTGATCTTCGACCCTTAGGGGGCACTGCATTAAAAACAGACACGGTTCTGTAGTGGAAATCACTGCATGGGCTCAGGAACACTTCCAAAAACCACTGTGTGTGAACACAGTTCACTGCTGCATCCACAATTGCAAGGGTGCAGGGTGGTAGATATCCAGGGCTGGAGTTTGTGGAGGGTGTGTTCAGCTTGTCTGAGGCCCAGCTGATCAGAAATTCACAAATTTTCTTCTCAGAGGTTCTCAGTGTGACGCTTCTGATTTGCTCCACTTTTATAGAGACTACAGCATATATGTGTCCACATTCCTGTACAATGCTGTGTGTGTGTGTGTGTGTGTGTGTGAAAGAGACAAAGTAAGATGTTGTTCTATTTATATTTTTATCATTAGTAATTTTTTTTTATTTATTTATTTATACTATTTGATTTATTATTATATGTATTTATTTTTCAAATTGCTTCTTATTTGGTCCCTGTCTGGGACAGTCTTTGGACTAGGTAAAGGTAGCCAAAACAGACTGTTCAGTCATTTGGCACAACAGGTTATTTCATACATCAACTATTCAGACTTGCATGGCGACATGGGAAATCATGAAATAACTGTTTTTCTCATATATGTGTATGCCACAGTGGTTGGCACTCCTTCATTTAATACTTCTGCTGCCTCCCTTTTCAAAATTAACAGTTCCTATATTGCACAATGAGACTGGGGTGCACAGGCAAGGGATCTGAGACTGTTGCTCCAGAATTTCTCCAGGTCCATTGGATTCAGCACAGTCCACAGGTTTTCTAAGGGGTTTAGGTCAGGGACTGGGGTGGCCATGGCAAGACCATGGTTTGGTGGTTGGTGAACCATTTTTGTATTCTGAGGTTTACCTTCGATCATTGTTCTGCTGGAAGACCCATCACAGCCCAGTTTATGCTTCTTGGCTGAGGCAGTCAGGTTTAGATTTAATATCTACTGGTACTAGATAGAGACCTTTTTTTCAAACAAGTTGTCCTGTGAAAAAATTCTCAACATTCTCCAGTTGCTTTAACCTTCTTAGTTATTACCCTTATAGTAAAAGTAAGCATTTTCAACTGTTTAGCTGTTTTCTTGTAGCCAATTCCTGATTTGTGCAGCCAGGGGTGCTTTAACGTGCTATAAAAGCCTATTTTAAAATCCATAAAACCAGATTCTCAAAATGACTGATGTGGACAAACTGCATACGATTTAGCAAGCATGGAAAGTGGTAGTCACTTGGCTTATTATCATTATTATTACAACCCCATTCCGAAAAAGCTGGGACGCTGTCAGAAATGTAAATAAAAATGGTAATGGTAATAATAATGGTGTGCAAATCCCTATGTTTAATTGAAAATAGTACAAAGACAACACATCAAATGTTGAAACTCAGAAGTTCTATTGTTTTTTTTGAAAAATATAAGCCCATTTTAAATTTGATGCCAGCAACATGTTCCAAAAAAAGGGTACATCTTCACTACTTTTAGTCAGGGAACATAACTGTACTATATTCCATTGAAATAACTTTTTTTTTTCAGTTGTATTGACTCCACACACCTGTCTTGACACCAGGCTTTTTATTTTGTTGTTCTGTTTTAAAACATTAGGTTATGAAAAGGTACAAATATTAACTTTTCCCTGAGAAAACCTTAACACTTACTTGACAGAGCAATGTAACTGCATACTGAAAGGCATCAAAAACTTAAACCTTTATTTTTAATGAAGGTGCTCACACCACCTCCACCAGTCAGTAACTCATAGCACTGCCATTCATCGTTTTTCGTTTACTGCCTTAACGTAAACCCAGAACCAGACCACTAAAAGCCATAATAAATTTCAAACCTCATAGTCAAGGTTTGAAATTGACACTGAGAAGGCAGTCAATTTAAAGTCACCTTTTTCAGATAACGTTAATAGCCTAGTTATATTGCATCTTATACCTTATAGTTGCATATGTGAATTTAGTTAGCTTATATAAAATGTAATAATTCCTCTAAATTGATCAAACTTAAGTTCATATGTGCTATAGTTATGCTCAATTCAAATTGCAGTGTAATGCTGCAGATTTTTCTACCAGTGTGCTGTAGAGTTTACTTGGTAAAACTGTTTACATCACCAAAACAACCATCTACTACAACCCCTTTTCCAAAAAAGTTGGGACACTGTGCAAAATGTAAATGAAAACAAAATGCAATGATGTGCAAATAATTTAAACCCTATATTTTGAACACAAGGAGCAAATGATCCCTTTTTCTCAATTAAAACAATGGAACAGTAAATAAATGTAGCTTACTGTTCTCTCTTTCTTCTTATTTTATTTATTGAAATGTTTTTGATCATCTCCAATTTCTTAAATTGTAACTCTCAATCCACAAAAGTCTGCCCATGTAAGGTACTTTTTTAACCTCCTGACCTTTTTTTTGAGCTCCACTCTCATACATTTTTTTTCCATAAGTATCTGGTTCTAACTTTCAATTTAAATGCATCCAATACAATTTCAAATTTGCTTCAGAGTCGATGTTTTGAATAAATTCAGCTAATCAGAACAGTCAGAACGAGAAAAAAGGTCCTGCATTAAATTGCCTCTGTGTGCAGCTCAACAACCTTTTGTTGCATATCATTGCTGTATTTTGTGACCTTTCTCATAGTAATGGATGACTAGAGGAATTTGACCTGTGTGTCACTTCAGATTTATACCCCAGTAAAACAGGAAGTCATGGCTGACCACTTAAGTGTTCCCAATAATTAAGATGCTGAAATCATTATTATTATTATTATTATTATTATTATTATTACTACTACTACTACTTCTAAAGCACATTAATTTACATAATGTATACTCATAATGTATACACATTCTTTCCTCTTCCAGTGCATTTAAAAATAGTTGGTCCAGAAGCTCCTCTTGTTGCTGAAGCTGGTGAAGATCTGGTTCTGCCCTGTTCTCTCCAACCTGATGTCAGTGCTGTGGAAATGAGAGTAGAGTGGATTAGAGTAGAACTGGCTCAGCTGAACACACTAGTGCATCTGTATGAATATAATAAAGATAGAAATGAGCAGCAGATGGACTCTTACAGAGGGAGGACAGGTCTGTTTAAAGAAGAGCTGCAGAAAGGAAACACCTCATGGAAACTCTCAGCAGTTCAACCTTCTGATGAGGGAGTTTACAAATGTGTAATTCGGTCACTTCACTGGGATGATGATGTAATTATTTATGTTGAAGTCAAGGGTAAGCACTATCATAATATATTTTTATTACAGTTATTATGTATTATCAAATGATGATTTTTAGATGCATCTTGATCATGTCCCGAAAAATTTAATTCACAAAATGTCATAAAGTTTTGTATAGGCTCTGAATTTACAGTAAAATAAACTTATGCACATAAGTAAGATATTCCAGTACAGCCCAGCTTGGGGAAAGAAAAAAATCAGGATCTCATTACTGTTTGCAGTCACAAATTTGTTGCTCTTTTTATGTGTATGAAGTACAAAGCCCAAAAACATTGGAAAAAAAACTCGGTAACACTTTCTATGAATCAGGTATCCATAATGCCTTATAAATGCATTCATAAAGCTCTATAAAGCATTCATAATGCTTTATAATGCTTAACATAAGCCTTTGTAACTGTACGTAAACACTCATAATCACACACATACATTGTTATAACACCACAGTATAAGGCTTCATAGCACAAAGTGACATAAAGCATTATAACACACATTTTTCCTGTTCTTAACATTGTTGTGAGACCAGTATCATAAAGCTTAATAACAAATTTTCTGTTGATTGACATGATGCTTTATAAAGATCCATAGTGATAAAAGCATGCCTCCACTCTATGTATTCTCTAATGTTCCTCATTATCTTCAAAATGAAAATGATTTTGTGAGCGCACATAACATCTAATAAAAACTTACAAGCTCTTCTTACAGACTTGAGGTAAAGTGATGATATTGGTCAGCTCTATTAAGCAATCCATGTTAACATAAGCACATACCAACTTATAAAGCACTATAAGTGCTCTTTACAGACTTTAAATAAGGGGGGTTTCCCCAAATAAGAAGGTCAAAACAGAATACCAGAATCACCAGTTTGTACTTGAACAAGGACTCATTTATTGACAAAATAAACTTTTACATCGAAAAGGCAATGATGTATATGTATGGAAAGAATTTCAAACAAATCATACTTTGGTTTTCCAGTAAAACAGATTCTTTGATGTTAAATTCTAAACCAAACGTTACAGACTTTTCCTTTATATAACAAAAGCTCGGTCATTCAAAACAAAAGAAACTTTAACAATCTCAATGCCATGTACTGTATCCAAAATGTAAAATCTCTACAAACATAAAAATTGAATTAGATATACAAATACTTTATTCAATAGCCTAATGAGAATTAGACTGATTGGCCAACATTTCTTTAAGTCTGCTATTTTTTAAAGAAAATTAACTTGACAAAACAAGTTTCAAAAATTTAAGAAAATCTGGAAAATCTGCTCCCTCAAAAAGAACAAATTTCTTCTGAACTGAACAACATTTTTACTACTGAACTACACCTCAGTGAGTCATAGGTAACAGTTCTCCACATGCTTTCATCTGTATGATTTTTTCCTTGATTTCATCATTTGTGGCCTCTCGACACCTGTCCACAAATGTGGACAATTTCTCGACTTGAGAATTCCATGGGGGGAGAGCCTGAAAGACACCAGGTGCTGCTAGGGCAAGCTCAGCAATTGGTGAGGTCCTGGAGATGGTATTGCGGTCCACTCCCACTTTCTGGAAAGCCCTCTTCATTGACCCACCTTGGTTAAAGGCTTGTAGAGCACGCTTGTAACGCAGTATTACTCCACGAACCGTTTTTGCTGTAGAAAAGAAGTAATGCAAAACAAATTGAGTATCTGAACACAGACACACCAAAGAACCATTGCAAAATAACATCATAATCAATAACAGTTATTACTTCGAGTGCGCCCCAGATCATCTTGCTTTGTAGATCTTGCTTTCTTGCCCTTTGAAGGAGGCTTCATCTCCTCATCATCCGAGTCATCAATGGTTGAAGATTCTGAAGACAGAACTTGGCAAGACAAGACCACTGGATTTACTTGTTGCCTTAATTATGTTATTCCAAATTCACCTTAAGTCAGACTGAAACTGAATTTTAATGAAAAATATGGTGCGTTCCAATCAGGAGGCAGCTGTCTAAGTAGGCAGCATTCTAAGGCAGCATTCTAAGGCAGCATCTGCGCGCTCCCGAGGCAAAGGCTGTCCCATTCGGAAGGCAGCAGTAGGCAGCTGCCTTCTAAGGTGCCCTAATTTGACCAAATCTAAAGGTAGCATCACATGTATCCTTCTCAGCGAGGGCAATCCCATAATACTGTTCACCTGCTCACCAGCTGAGAGTTCCATCGCTTCAGTTTGATAAACATGGCGAACAAAGCGGCCGTTTCTGAAGACTGAGGAGTCGACAAATGTAAGTTATTTCATGACTTCTGTCTTTACTGTTTTGATTGATTATTGTATTTGTGTAAATTATTTAACATGTTTGCGTTTGTACATATCTAGAAATTGTTCCTGTGGTAAAATTTTGGGAGTTCGCTTGTCTAACGCGACCTGACAGTTTGTAGCTAACTCGTTAGGTGAAGCTAATGTTAGTTAGCTAACTCTGTAAATGTGCCAGCTCTTTAAAACGCGAGAGATTCCAAAGTAAAATATTGGCTGTTCACTGTTTTGTAGCACCTTTTATTTGTAAATAAATCATTGGTTTGATTCTGTACTCAGACGTTTCTTCTGTCCTCTGTAAACTAATGTTACAGCAGTGGAGAGGTGCTGGCTGAGGAGCTGAGGAAGAGAAGCAGTTATGGGGAGAAAACTGTGCTGAACGACTGAAAGCAGCTCACTTGCCGAGCCTATGGTGGGGGAAAACATGGTGGAAGCAGCACAGTAGACTGACATTCTCCCTGAACAATAGAATTTCAGAAATTAAATGTTTTTAAAAATAAATATCACAAATACGTATCTTTGCCAGCTCTGCTTGTCTTGTATTGCAATGCTCATCACAGTCAAATCAGCGTTAAGTGAATGTTGAAGGCTAAATTTCAGACTAGGAGCTCATGAATCAGATGGAAATGCATAAAATAAAATGCAATATTTTTTGGATGCATGTTGTACAAAATTATGTTAGACATAAAGCAAGTTCATTTAGGTCAATTAAGACAGTGAATGAATCGAAATGATTCACAAACTTACAGTCATGATTATCTGTATCTATCTGGGGTGCCGAGTCGAGTATATCATTTCAGATACGACTCCTTAAAGTCAGCCTGTTCTTCAAACACAAATTTCCACCACAGTGTCAATGCAAGGAAAACAGCTGCTACAGAAACAAGAGCCAGCTGTCCTTTTACACTGAGGTGATGCACCTTTACAGTCAGAGGTGAATGACTGACAGTAAACAGATAAAATGTGTACAGCGCAGTGGAAGTTATGACGTATGACGGGTCTGTAGAGATGGGTCCCGAATGCGATGCCTGCTAAGGTTCCTTTTCGGTTAAAATGCTGCCCAAAGAGAGAGGTGCTTTTGAAGGCAGTGACTAGTTAGGCAGCTGCCTTCAGAATGGAACACACTAATAGTTTAATAATATTATAGTATACTTCAGTTTTTTTGACTATGACACTAAATCTACTACTTTACTATACATGCCATCTTGTTTACTGTTCCAGTCTCAAGATTTAAAACACAGAAAAAGAACAATATTTATTGTTATCTGTATTATATTCTGCATGTATAACTGAGTGAGTGATAGTTTTCATCTTACCCGCTATCTCTCCACTTGACTCTTCCTCTGTTCCAATAGCCTTCTTTCCTGTGTAGAATAAATCAAGTTTAACATTCCAATAGGGTCATGTTAATGCTACAATTCAACAAATTGCCAAGTGTTCAATAATGGCATCAATAAACTTGTGTTTCCATGAAGCAGCTTGTATCTGTCATATTACAAATTGTAACCATACACCACAATCCATCAGCTGTTGATACAGTATCTGTAATTACAGGTAGGAATCCTGTTTTTACAAAACTTAAAATTTTTATAGAACTTCCAAGAGAGACCCACTCTCCCAGGGTAAAACAAGCAATTGCTGATGAAACCTTTATCACTGCCAGTCTACGGAGCCCCGGAGGGTACGGAGGTAAAAAAAAATAAATTTGAGTGAACATTTTGCAGTTTGTACGCACATTTTCTCTTATTTGAGGTCACGATTTCTTAAATCGTTCCCTCATTTTCTTTTAATCGTGCGCATGCTTTCTTTACTTTGTGGGTATGTTATTTTAAATTCGTGATCACGATTTTCTAATCCATTCTCTCATTTTCTTTTAATCGTGGTCATATTTTAACTGAATGCAGTCTTTTAATCGTTTGGTTTTTGATTTGGGCACAAAATCAATACAGGTCGTGTTATTTGTCCTATGCAGAAGTAACTAACAGCTCCCTGAAACTGTCTGACGGGTTCTGATGTGTTAGATTTATGAGATGATGGACAGAGATGCTCATCAGGTCTGATTTTGATTTGGGGGGGTTATGAGGTCACTGTAGCTCCTCTTCACAGCAAACAGCCCACAGATTCATCAGTGCAGCTGCAGTTTGGTGGTGAAATGAAGGAAGACAACAAACTACAACCACAATCTTCACTAAACTGCACTTTCTAATGATTAGATTAGAAGCAATTATCAGCATCAACGTTTCAACAACCTCAAATTAAACGCACACAGAAACATTCATGTGGGATGAGGTCAAATGGCAAGAGAGTTTAACAGAAATATGGATTAGATGTAGAGATATTAATGAGAGGCTGTTGAAACGCTGATCATTTCTTCCTGTAATTTTGTGATGGTCCCTAACACCGCAGCTTGACGTGGGAGCAGAAACACCGTGGGCCGTTCGCTGTGAACAGGCGCTGCAAATCAAATTGCATAACCCCCCACATCAAAATCAAACCTAATGAGCATCTCTGTTCATTATCTCATCAATCTAACACATAAAAACCCATCAGACAGTGTCAGGGAGCTGTTAGCAGCCTGTATTTACTACATTTTTTTGTTTGTGTGTTCCTTTACAGATTTTATAAAGCAACAATTCACAACTGGGTATAATGCTATCACTTTAATAATCTTATAAGATTAAGTAATTACTGCATAGTTAAGTATATATAGTTGCATAAAATTAATATAAATAACCACATTTGAATTATTTTCATTCAATATTCATACAAGCATTTTATGAGTTCTTGTTAGAACTCTTCACCCCTGATGTGCAGCAGTGTGCATCAATGGTAACTTCTTGTGATTTTTCATCAAAGTGCTTTTACATCTTTAGCTCAGGCAGGTGTATTTATGAAAAAAAAGTAACAAAGTTTGCTGCCATTTTGATGTGATTGTTCAGTGCATTAAATACAGTAATGAAAGGAAAAGTTAATCTTCCTAAATATAGCAAAGCTGACCTGATTCAACAAACAGCAACACAGAAACACAAACTTACAATTATGAGTATGAATCACAATGTATAGTTACAAACTGTTATATTACAGATACCAACTGTGCTTCAAGCACACAAATGTGTTCATTATCAGTATGAATGTGATGTACAGTTACTGAAAACTTTTTTCAGTATGCAACAGACCAATGAGGTCTTTAAAACTCTAGTTTTAAATAATCTCAGTGCTCCTAAATGTAACTATCACAATGGGACAGTTTTATGCAAAGAATTTAGTTTTAATCAATGTCAATCAAGTTATGTTTGCACAGCATACCCTACACAAGAGCATGTAGGCAAAAAGGAGAGGGAGTGGGTTAGCTAGTTACCTTTTCCTTTTGGAGCACCTGTAGATGATCCTGAAATGCTTGAGGACCTTGAAAGGCTTGAAGATGAGGCTACAATAAAACAGAAAACAGAAAATATATTCATTTAGTCATCCAAGTGGTTAGTTTATTCAGCTATAGGCATATCATGATTACAGACACTGATTTTGGTCAAATTAAAAGTTTATGTATATGATCAAGTGTACAGCTGTTTAGCTAACCCTTTCATCTACCTGTCATTCGAGAAAGCTGATCCTTTAGGAATTCCTTGTCTGCTTGTAGATGTTTTATTGTTTCCTGAAGACTTTTAACTTTCTCCCTTTCGGCCTCAAGAAGCATCTTCGCAACTTGTAAATCTTGCAAGGCAGTTGGTGATACTGAAATAGGTGACCGACAGTAATTAATTTTTAGCCATTTAGCAATCTGTTAATTGTTTGACAATATTATTTATATATTTATGTACATATTTTGATTTTGTCAAATTGTACTTAATTATTTGTAAAAAGTAATCCAGTGGATTTAAGAGTGGCTTGCACCAAGAGGATAATCAAGGATTTGTTAATCTAACTTAGTTTGCATTTTAAACATAGTTTAACTAAAAAGGCAGATCATTTCACAGTGAGGAAAAAAGAACAAGCGTGAATCCAGCTGAGTACACATTTCAATGGGTCTTGTGACACAAGCACAATCATCATATATAGCAGGATAAAGATTCTCCACTAGGGGAAGCTTAGATATAGCTTTTGTGTGCATCACAGAAAAACACGAAAGCCAGCACAATCCAACAAATGTATGTACAGATTTCTTTCATTCTGTTAATTTGTGAGTAGGTTAAGCTTCTTATTTTTCTATGAGACATATACTCTTATTGCTTTAATTACTGAGAGCTGTGATCTGATCAACTTAAATCACCACATGCAACACTTTAGAAAGAATCCCTGATTAGGTGAAATCTCACTCTAAAATACTGGTGCAGCCTGATTACATTTCATTTCAACCGAAAAAGGAAATCTAAATAAAATCGACATTTAAATTTCCTTTGGTTTAGTTTTAACTAGGTTTTTATCACAACACCTACGTATAAACAGCCCAAATGACCAAAAGACCCCCTGTCCTGCACGATTTCAACTATTCTCTGCAATACAAAAATGTTTTAACTTAAAAAAGTAAGCAAGCTGACTGCATTTTAAATTTGATTTTACTGAATTGAAATTCCTCAGCCAGGTTACCTTTTTAGTTAAGGCAAATTCATCTTAAACTTAGTTAAGTTTAATTCATGGGTTGCATTAGGTGCCTTTGAGGAGTAAGTTAGCTGAAACTGTGCAGTGCTGTGGATCACCAGACAGGATTAAAAAAACACTGAATACTACAAACATACAGAACTAGACATTGTACTACTCCATAAAAACAATATTGAGATTTATTGTTTTTAACACGTCATTTATAAAGCCAATATTACCTGCTTTACACTGCTGAGGTGGCAGAACAGAACTTTCGCTTGGAGTCACGTTAGAAGTACATGACTTTGCCTCAGCTTTCTTCGACTTCCGCCCACGAGTGTCCATCTGGGAGAATTAAATCACAAAATAACAATGAACTCTTCCATTAGTAGCAACTAAAGCAAACCAGCAGTTTGAACTTAAGTTATACTTTACATTTTGATTGATCTTCTGATAGGCCGTTTTTATGGCCTGCTAAATTTATTTAGCTAGCCATCTCTTCTGTTAATATGACCTAACCTACCTAGCTGGCTAAAGTACCTATCGCTAATCCTCCTAGCTCGGGAGCACCGCGTTCTGGAGCTCGATAATATTAGCTCAATCGGTCTTCTAACTCTATTGACAGTCCATTTTAACTCCAACCAAGAAAACACTAGACTAGACCAGTAACTTTTACACTCTTACTGGGTAAAAATGAGCTAAATTAGGTAGGTTAGCTAGCTAAAGCAAATCAGTCCGTGCCGCTAGTTGGCTGGTACCACACTGGCATAATGAACAAGCTAGCCACTTACAGCTGCTTCTGCTGACTTAGTCACAGTTAAGATTTTAGCTGAATATAGCTAAAAGTAAATCTTCACGGTGCCTTAAAACACCGCCGTAATCCTCACTCGCCTCTTTTTAGCAGCAGTTTGAAAACTTCTGCTTTACTCTCCGGGCCTGAAATGACGTGATACAGCTCTGTGCTGCATCACCTGACTACAGCTCGTCCTTTGACTCAAACGCGGGAAAAAGCGAGTTCCGGACAGAACCGAAGCAGAAATTTGGACGGAGAGGTTTTGGAACATGACGTTAATCCAAAGAAAAATTCTCAAATTATTAAGGGAACAGGATAACCTTCGAAATAGACGCAAACTTGTGCGATGGATGCAGAAAAAACAGATTCTGCACAGAGCAATGAAATGCAACTCATGCAGCAAAAAAATGAAATTACACAAACGGTTCCAGGGAGACGGATATCAATGGTGAGATTTTGATTGTTATTTTGAAATTTAACAGTAGAAAATATTTGTTGAATTTTCTTTGAGAATCCAGTCTAGATGCAATCAATGTAAACCCAAGCTGCCAATGTTGTGTTGCCTGTCCAAACAATTATTTTGCTAGGTGTTGCACGAGGAATGCACATCACCATCAAGATGTCACAGCTTCAGTCCGGAAGGGCTCTATGTTTTTTCGCTCCCGTTTATCTCTTCGACAGCACCTCGAGTTCATCTACAGGTAAACAATCGTGTCTCTTTTGTCACAAATATAGAAAATATATTCTGTAAATTGAATGGCACCATGAAGGTTTTTGACTGTTAATACTGGTGAACAACAGCAAGAAAAAAATGACAAATAACACTATGAAAACTTTAGATTTTCTCAGGGACTGAGACTGAGACAGATTGATCTTCTTGAGGATGGAATTGCAGGCAGCAGCAGAACTCTGACCAAGATGACATCAGCACTGAGAAAAGTAAGAGCATTTTCATCTTCCTAGCTAGTTTTTAACCTCACTTCAAATGTTTTACCAGGGAGAATAGAATGAATTAATAATAATAATAATAATAATAAAAACTTACCATGGTGACTTGTCTGTGCTCAAGGTATGCATCTCAGGGATGACAAAACTTCGTCAGCGTGGAGGAATGCGAGTTGGGGGACCACACCACTTTGTGATGATAGATGAGAGTAAATTCTCACACAAAAGAAAGGTTCATAGCCTTAATTATCTATGCTTGTGCAGCCATATGCAAATGTTTGAACAGTCCTGGTCAAATTACGTTTTGCTGATTTTCCTGTTGAAAATAAGTTAACACATCCTCTACAGAAAACACACTTGGAACACTTTTAGTGCACAATTTCTATTTATTTGAAAAAAAGAGTACATAAAATAAAAAATAAATAAATAATGGTTATGATTGACAATATACATCATAAATGTCTGCCAACAGGAATATATGATATAATATAGCATCTATATCAAAAGGTTAACAGAGAATAGAAAATAAACAGAATTTACAGTTTATTAGGTGTTGCTGCCTACACTCTCTGCATGCTCTGCTTAACCCAATGTTTTCACTAAGGTACATACACAGTTGCCAGTTTATTAGCCTTTACTGAGTAGCTATGTCCATTATCCATTTTATTAGTTCTGCTTACCATATAGATGCAATTTGAAGGTCCACAGTTACAGACTGTAGTCCATCTGTTGCTGCAGTTTATCAGCCACCACTCAGGAACAGTCAGTAATTATAAACCTACAAAGTGCTTGTAAATAATAGGTTTTCCTCATAAAATCAGTGTAAGTACAACGCAATTGCGATAAATACATTGGTAACTGAACGTATATTTATCCTTTGTTAAAATATTGTGATATGTAATGCACAACATGTTTAACAGTGCATAGTTTAAAGGTTTTCTTAATTTTTTTACAGTACAACCGTGGACGTGTAGGCTCTGCCTGGCGACGGAGTAAAAAGTGGGTACTAGGAATTCTGGAAGTGAGTGCTACCACCCGGAAGCCCATACTGAAAATTGTCTCTGGCAGGTCAAGTGAACAACTGCTACCTATTGTGAGACGATATGTGAGAAGAGGCACCAGTATCATAACTGATGAGTGGCGGGCATATAGAGGTCTTTCAGATCTTGGCTATGACCACCATACTGTTTGCCACAAGAGACATTTTGTGCATCCATGCACAAAGGCCCACACCCAGCACCTGGAGAGGGCTTGGCAGAAATTCAAGGTTGATGTGTGGCGACACCGTGCAAACCGAAACACAAAACGTCTGAAAGAATACCTGAAGGTTATAGAGTGGGAACACTGGCTTGCAAAAAAGCACAAATGGGGTATACTCGGATGACTGCTCCATGACATTAGAAAACTGTACAGAAGCCATTGTAAATGAAATAGTTCTGACAAGCGTTCTGAATTTTATGGCTCTTAGCATCTGATATCTGTGTAGTTATTGGCTCATAAAATGCAAATGTAGAGAAATAGTCTATTCAGAAATATTGATATTGCCATGTAGTTTGGCAGTGTGTTTAAAAATGTTTTTGAAAACACTTGTTTTAAGGCAGGTTGTCCCAGAATTTTCAGAGCATAATTTTTTTACATTCGAAAAGGCTTTGAAGTTTGTCAAGATGTTTTATATAAAACATACCTTCAACAGAATAAGTAATGAAATAGTACAGATTAACTCTCTGCATTTTTCTAACTCATATTAGTTTACTGATAAAAACAAAAATAGTCCTGTTTGTGTAATGTTTGTGTGAAATATAAAAAATGTTTTAGTCTGTTTATACTTTGTTAACTTGCATACTTTATACAGACATATTTTTGCAATAATAGGATTATACCTTTTCGATGTAAAAGTTTATTTTGTCAATAAATGAGTCCTTGTTCAAGTACAAACTGGTGATTCTGGTATTCTGTTTTGACCTTCTTATTTGGGGAATCTCACTTTACTTAAAGTCTGTAAAGAGCACTTATAGTGCTTTATAAGTTGGTATGTGCTTATGTTAACATGGATTGCTTAATAGAGCTGACCAATATCATCACTTTACCTCAAGTCTGTAAGAAGAGCTTGTAAGTTTTTATTAGATGTTATGTGCGCTCACAAAATCATTTTCATTTTGAAGATAATGAGGAACATTAGAGAATACATAGGTTAGAGTGGAGGCATGCTTTTATCACTATGGATCTTTATAAAGCATCATGTCAATCAACAGAAAATTTGTTATTAAGCTTTATGATACTGGTCTCACAACAATGTTAAGAACAGGAAAAATGTGTGTTATAATGCTTTATGTCACTTTGTGCTATGAAGCCTTATACTGTGGTGTTATAACATTTTATGTGTGTGATTATTAATGTTTATGTACAGTTATAAAGGCTTATGTTGAGCATTATAAAGCAATATGAATGCTTTATAGAGCTTTATGAATGCATTTATAAGGCATTATGGATACCTGATTCATAGAAAGTGTTACCAAAAACTCTACTTAAGAACACAGCTTTGTTTAATGACAAGTTCAGGAGAATTGGCTTCTATTATTAATGGCATCTGGCTTCTATTAATGGCTAAACCATTGATAATGAATTTACAATTAGGCTTTCAATTTAAATATTTACTGAAGGAATAACTGTAAGTGCTGTGGTATACAAAGAAAACATTTTGGGGGAAATTCTTAGTATTTTCTGTGCAGTGTAAGTGTCCTGATGGTTCAAATGAGTTTTTAATTTATGAAAATATAATAATTAATGGGTTCCCACAGGCAGTTGTGTGAAAAGAAAAAGTCAGTTTGCTGTACATGTGTTAACTTATTTTCACTTTTCTACAAAACTTGATTTTTGACCTGGTGTGTCCAAAGTTTACATATAACTAGACAAATTCCAGAGTGCCTCTGCTGTAAACACCTTGTTTTGAGGTGTAAGATACATGGACTGGATATGGATTTGAAAGTTTCTAATTTACATAAGCAGTATTAGCTTACAGAAACAGTATCATGTCTACTGTGATCAGTTTCTTTAAATATAAAATGTAAATTGTTAATTCTTTAAATGTAAAATGTAATTGTTAATTAAGAAATGATGCGTAAGGTACTCACTTCATAATGATTGATCAGCTTAAAATGAATCAGTATTTGACCTGCTGTAACAGTTTGTCTGGTTTGTATCTTAAAAGGTACATTTTCAATCAATAATTTTCAAAAATCACTTTTAAATATTTTAAAGAACACTGCACCATGTCTGCATTAGTGTGTGCATATATGTGAAGGATTATGATGGTGAAATTTTTATGAGACTAGAGTTGATTTCGCACCTCTGTTCCCCTTTGGAACCCCTGAAAGGCCTTGGATTCTCATATTGTATTTATTTGGCTTTCATGTGAAGACTGAGTTGATTATAGTTGTTTTCTCAAGAAATATGTTATTATGACATACACTACTGCTCAAAAGTTTGGGGTCAGTGATTTCATTGATATAAAACCAATTCTTTGAAGATACATGTATAAATTATGCTATGAGTTACTGGTTTCAGATAGTTTGTAGGAACCTTAAAAAATGAAGGCATTTTCAATGAT